AAAAAAAGAGATTAAAAAATTCAGCTTTAAGCACATAAATGAACCCGTCCGTCAGATTTCAGACCCTCCCAACATCCAAACCTGGTTTAAAAATGATTTATGCCACCTGTAGGTCAATAAGAAAGCAAGAAAGATTTAAAAAATATAAAATATTCATGGATCATCTCTGCAGTTTCCCTGTAAACACCTGCATGCGTTTGTGGACACGCGCACATGTATAATCATTTAGATGTATTGAAAAACTCACATACTAACTTACTTTGTGTTTCATTTATCAGCAGTATTGATGTCAAATGTGAATATTGTCTATGGAGATTGTGGAGAAATGTTCCGAAGCTGACAGAACATTTTTAGATTGTTTCGCTTTTATTTATTTTATATTTTTCAAATTTTGTCTACCAATGTCGTTTCTTTACTTGTAACAATTTTAACAAAACCCTGTCTGGTTTTTAAATCATAAAATGTGTCTGTGTTTTAAAACGAGGCTCACCGACTATTTTATTCAAGAAACATGTTTACATGAATAAAATTGGAACACATTTTCTCTTAAAATAGTATCGTAAAGAAATGTTTTAATTCATGCAAACAGAGGTTTTCTCTCTTTTTACACATTTAAATGTTTAAATTTCATTCACCTGGCTTACAGGATAAAAGAAAAAGAACCTATTTATTTCTTTTTTTGCTTCTGAGATATTCACCTGTGCTAAAGTAATTTAATTAGTATTTATAAAAAGGATTTTAGTAATTAATCTTCACAAATAGATCAATAAATTGTTCACAATTCTTTGCTCTTTAATGGTTACAGCCAACAAAACGCAGATTCGGCTTCAAGCTGCTTTTTAAGTTGAGACTTTAACCCGTAAATCATTTAAAGAGCTGTTTGATTATCAGAAGAATACATCAAGCTTCAGATTATTCTGTGGAAATGTGCAGTTTTCCTTGATTTTCCAGAGCTTTTAGAGTTAGATATCAATATCAGCTCTGTTTTCTGAGTTCTTACTAAGCAGGCGTGCAGCATTATTTACATTTTTCTGCCTCAGAAACATTTTCCAAGTCCACGTCACAGCAGAAGTGTGTGAAAACTGAACTATCTGGAGGTAAGTGACACTTTTAATCTTGTGCTTTACACGCCTAATAGATAAATTCTCCATGAATACCTCAAATTCCTGAATGTTTTTCTGGAAAACCTAAAATTGTCTTTAGTTTGCCTGAACGCCGGCTTTTGTTCTTTAATGAAACTAGAAAGTAATTTGAGATTTAACGAATAATTAATTACATAAACTATTTTATGTGAAAGAGGAACTTAACATCTTTTTAAAGAATTAGTCAAATGTTGATGTTTTTTGTTGTAATCTCTGGTCAAACCAGCAGAGGACACCAAAAACAACCCTGAAAGTCTCATTTATTTTTTGCCTTTTTCAACAATTTTTCAGTCTTTGTCTGGTTTAATTCAGAAAGAGAGGTTTTTGTTTTTGTTATGAACCATTCAGGTAGA